TGGACAAAATATGTTTTTTTAAGCAGTATATGTTTATTATAAACTTGTGAACAATTTTCGAAAAAGCATTTAACCGCACTGTGCATAAGTGGTTTATGTTTCAATTTTATATGAGCCATTAAATAGTTTATAGATAACAATAGACGAGAGCAAAACAAACAACGCAACATTTTACAAATAATGTAAATAAGGATAATACAACAAAAATTAACTTTACTATTTGCACTTTTCTAAATTACTAGAAGTAAAAAACGGCACTTACAAAAAACTATGATAAGTGTATAGTCACCCAATAATTCTTCAGTCCTGAAAAGTAACCCTGCTGAAAATGTTCGATTAAAACCGATTAAAACGTAATCCGTTTTAGTCGATTTTAATCGGTTTTAATCGGTTCAATCCGCGCTCGGATTAAAAAGTAATCGGTTTTAATTCCGAACAAATTATAATTGGTTTTAATATTACTTTTGCGGATTATTTCAAATCTGAAATCATTATATTCTAATCCATATTGTTGTCAATTCAAATAAATCCGAATGACCGTAGGGATATATAATATCCAAAATAATCCGCCTATATATATTTTTAACCGTAAAATATAAACCGTATATATATTTTTTAACATCTAAGTTTGTTTCAGTTACAAAAACACTGATTCAATAAAATCGATTGTAATCCGTCTAAATCTGATTCCGCTAGGAAAGACAACATTAATCTGAATTTTTAATTCAAAATTTTAATTCGAAATTTAGCGATGGCGCGTATGAAATTTCAATCTGCTTTAATAATATCTAATTTTTAGTAATTGAGTTGATTGTAATCCGGTGTACTTCGAAATTCACCGATTTTGAAGATATAAACTAAATCGATTTGAATGCAATAAAAATTCAATTTTATCTGTGATCAGTATAATAGTAATTTGTTTTAAATTTTTTGCATACATTTGTATGAAACGCTATCGCTTCTCTTGATCCAATATTTTACATTGTATTGTACTTATTTGTATTTTACTGTCGTTATTTCGACTATCTATTACGTTATTGTATGTGTTGTGTCAGTCAGGAAGATAACACTAATATCTACACTGTGGTTTATTATAGAGACAGTTTATTTGTTTCTCAAAAAATAACACTAATGTCGAAAATGTTTATTTAATGATTATCCACTGTACACTCGGAAGCAACGGTACGTGATATAAGACGCGTGTTCGCCTCGCGTTATTTGGAGACCGATTTAACGCTTGCAGGTTTGTATTCGGTTCCGATTCGTGGCAACGCCTTGCGACGAATACCCTGTGCCTATTTAACAGGCGACGCTTCGGGTGATATCGTCGCGAGCCACGCGTATCGGACGGACGCGCGATCACGCTTAAGGCCGTCGCCTTGAATCGCGCTAGACTCGAACACACACGATTTCGTATAATATAGAATGTAGTTTCTAAATGAGACGACTCGTCGGATACCGGACTCACTCGGCCGAAGATGCTTCCGGATCCGCGTGTCGAACTAGAGTGAGGCTCGACGCCCGATTTCCCAAGACCATAACCGCCCTTATCCCTTCCAGTATGCCCTGCAATTTCACCGAACGGCCTTGGATGGTCATAAAGCCGTAGACCTCTTGGCAGGTAAACAAATGCGTCAGAGATCCTTTGACGACGCAACGGCTCAGAGCCGGCCAATAACGAGTCGGAATCTCCTTTGTGACTCAATGTCTCGACGTGGCGGTAGAAAGGTCTAGGATCACCGGCGCCGAACCCCTAATTGCTTGCATATGCTGGAGA